TTTTTTCAGAGTTATTTGCGTTCTGCAAAATCGCGTGAAGCCCCTAGAGTTTTACCCGAGGACAAACGGTATAACGTCTATTCCGTGTGACTATTATCATTCACTCATTCATTCGTCGTCTGTACGTGTGTAAGAAACACTTTGAAAAAAGAGAAAAATATATATTTAAAGAAATTAAATAATATATTATATATACATAAACGGTAGCAAAAAGTTTTTGTGGAAAATAAAAATTATAAGTCTTCTTTTTTCTTAACAACAAAATCCCAATTAGTTGAAAATCAGACAAAGAACATTTTCATTAGCAAAGAAATTACTTTAGTTTCTGTGGTATAAATATTTATTTTAAAACAAAACACCGAATACAACAAACAAAATGGCAAACAATCAAGATTTGCAAGAGGATTTTTCACAAGATGTGAAAGACGATCAACATTTCAACGGCGACGATTCCACCGGTGAAAATGGAAATGAAAACGGCACAGACAATGGAAACGATAATGGAAACGATGGCCAAAACGAGAACGATCAAGCCCAGCAAGGCGAAGCAGCATCAGGACGCGATGACGACAGGTTAGTTGAAATTTTCTCATTCATTTCATCATCGATGGGACGACAATTGCAACATTCCAAACAGCAATTTTGTACACTTTTTTTCACTGTATAGAATTTAGCAATTACGTAGTTCACAAAGCAATTAATTGTGTGAAAAAGAAAGACATAAAAAAAGTCATCACAAGCAAGAGAGAGACAGAGAAGTTTAGTTTTAATGTCATTGAGAAAGACAGATAACGAATGAATACATATAGAGAGAAGAAAAAAACCCACAACGTAATGGCGTCGTCTGTACGTTTCATTGAATTAAAATCTGGTGTTTTCTTTTCACCGAAAGAAATCGAATAGCATCCGCAGCTAGGAATGAAATTTCTGCATAGTTTTTCAGTAAAATTCTAGTTCAATGCTTCCTTTCGTCGATTGTGTAAACAGATTTTGAAAAAAATGTCCAATTTCATATGAAAAAGTTGTGTGAAATTTCACATACATTTTGCTGTTCTACATGACGGTCGAATATTGAATTTTTTTCGGTAATAACTTTTTCCATCTCTTTTACGCTTGCAACTATATGCGTGTGTATACACATACATACACATATATATCGTTATATGTATGCACATAGAAAGCGAGCGGCAATCAAGTGTTTAGAACTGAAACGAAGAAATGAATTGCCAAAATGGCGTCGAACATTTTTTTTTGCTGCTACCGCACACAATTCATACCGATTTACAGTTCGAAAAATAGCATTCATTTTGTTTCTTTTGCGCTTTGAATCCGCCAATTTGTTCTTTTCCGTGTGATGCGGTCACACATACACAAAATTCGCCGAAGAAAAATGCTTGAAATGTTTGGCTTTTGTTGTTTGACGGTTGCTCATTTACACTTATTCACATTTTCTTGGTTTCACAATGCGCCGCGTTTTTGAAAATTTGTCGTTTCGTGCGACGGCAACGATGACGACGAAACATACGGAAAGAAAAAGAGAGCGAGAGGGAGAGAAAAAAAAAGCATCGCAGTAAAATAGCAAACCGAGTGGAAATTTCCATTGGTACGAGAGGCAAATCGATGTGTGTTGTAAATAGAAATAGAAATTTGAAATAGACTTTGTGGACTTTTTCCCCGAACTTCGGTCTCATTTGTACTTATTGTTTTCTTCTTCTTTCATTTCGTCGTGTCCTCTTCTTCTTTTTCTTCATTCTTTCTTACTGTTTCGATCATAAAATATGCATTCGTACAACCATTTTTCTTTTTTGCCAATCAACCTATTTCTGTAGATTCTAATAGTTTTTCGTGTGTGTGTATGTGTATATGTGTTAGCTCGTTCAAAAATCATTAGTTATTGAGCTAAATATTCCGGGTATCGTCCATTTTTGTTTCATTTGCCGGTTTGACTATGGATGGCCATAAAATCCATAGGTTCCCTCTTTCTCTTTCTGCTCATTGTCCGAAGATTAGTACACAAATATATGCTTGTAGCGATTTCCTCTTACTTGGCTTCAGCGTGATTTCTTCGTTTTCTCTCCTCTCTCTCTCTCTCTCGCTCTCTACCTGAACGATGAAAAAAAGCAGTATTAGCATATAGTTAGAGTATACAGTGATGTCATCTATGCGCACTACCACAATGCCAGCATCTATTCGAAGAATATGCGTATGTGTATGTTTCTACAATATGCTAATTGCAAAGTCAGCATACAACGGGTAGCCATGATGTATTTTGACGCGCGTGCAACTTTTTCTGCCGGCTAACTTCATTAAATTACGTATCATTTTCGTCCCATTCATTCTAACGTTGCTCACGTCATTCGATTCGACCCCGATGTATTTGAGAAATAAGACCCATTTTGGTTTAGATATTTACTACGATAACCTTACGGTGGTTAGCTTCATGTGAGCTAGTCACACGATCTCCGTATTGATTACTATCCCAATGAAATGTCCCATATTTTCGTTACATACACGTTCCCTTTAAATTTCTCTAACGACTTGGTTGTATTTTACTTTTTGCCCAGCTGTTGAAATATACTCGGGAATTGAAGCCGTACAAACTTTGCTCTAACAATAAATTTGAATCGATAGCATCCGCCCAATTTCTACATCCAAAATCCCTTTTCTGCCTCGAAACACAACGAACAACATGAATTCGCTCTTTTCACCTCACTTTTTCCATTAAGAATAGCATTCTTTGTGTGTGTGTATTTGCTTTGACTTTTAATCGGTTGCTTGAAAATGTTTTTAAAAATAAATACACTCTCTATCGATGATATTAGTGTTTTTGCTCGTTCATCCTTTTTTAACTGTAATTTTTCGTAATATAGTCGACGTACAATTTCTTGTCTACTATGCGGTCAACAAATCATCGTTTTAGTTTGTAAGACACGTTTCTTGATTGCGACAAAAACGCAAATCGCTTAGCGCCAAACATTTTAAGCATTTGTATTTCAGGTGATAAATGAACCAACGAAATATGCACTTAATTAATTTTAATCGTAAATTTTTAGCTACTTTTAAGTGAAACAACAAAACTCTGTGAATTTACATTTAAATAATTTTTAGTAAGTCGATATTAAATGCACTTGAATTCGTTTTCCTTTGGTACGTTTGACACATCGATTTGGTTCTACGGTACATGTAATACGGCTTAATTACTTTTTTCGTACCGTTTTACTTGCAAACTGTTCGATACACCTTGATTGTTCGGTATACCTTGAAACAGAGAAATCGGAGTATTGACGCTATCTACAAATTTGACTCAAATCGTTTTTATTTGAAATTTTTGTAGAACAACAGAATGGAATTTGTTTTTCCAAGTGTTTTTTTTTTGTCAAACGAGAGATCGGATTTGTTTGAATTTGTGATATTGAATTGAAAATCGACGTGATTGCCGAGTGCCAAGAGATCGAGCTAAAAATAAAATTTTGTAACTTAAACAGAGAAGACACCTCTCATTGGAGTTTGTACAGCATAAGAGCACGAAAGACCTTCGGTGGGTCCAGTCAAATAGTCCAGTTTTCATTCAGCCGATTCTTCATTTAATTATCGTATGCATCGTGTGCGCCAATCCAATGCAAATATGAATATCATTTATTTTTCTTTTGGTTACTACTTCTTTCTTACTACTCACAAATAAATATTAATTTTTTTTCTTGCTTTTAGATCGTTGATGTTATATTTGTTATACTAGTTGATCGTTATTGATATTGTGTTTAAAAAAAACGGTCTTTATTGCCAAAATCAAATGATAAACAGATCGAAGTAAAACAGACAGAAAAAGAATATGAAAATCCATTTTGAAAATTGCGTATTCAACAAATTTGCCAAATAAAAAACAGAGTTCCGATCCGGTTGATAAACACACAAATCATGCACAATCATACACATTCACATACTAGAAACAAGAGAAAATATGCAAAAAGAACGTCAATTTTTTTTATCGCACCGATGACAAAATGATAAAACATGAAATACCGTCTAAAATAATCGAAATATCTAAAGTTTACCGTGTGAAAAAGAGAGACATTTTATAAACAAAAATGAAACTGAAACGAAACCAATTGCGAAACAATAGACAATGAGTTGAAATGGGTTTGTTATTTACGTTGATTTGATTTTTGTAAGAACAGGGCATTTTACAAAAAATCAAAAAAACCAATCAATTGCATTAATCTAGAAAAAAAACGTTACATTAGGTTCCTGTTGAGATTAGAGTGAACTAATCTTGTTCCTCTCCGGCAGGTTGTTGTGATTGAATTCTTCTGGATACAGGCAGAAACCAAACTGAAGAAGGCATCGCATACACCAGGCATGAAATGAGCGCATTTATCAGCAAAGTCTCAGGCGTTGAGTATCGTGTCCGACAAAATCACTCAAATCAACACGCACACGCACGCACACACACACACACACACACACAAACGCCGCGCAAACAAACAAAACACGTGAGACAGAGTGAGTGAGAAAGAGAGAGAGAAAGAAAGAAAAAAAATACCGAAAGCGAAACTGTTCAGTACGCGAAACCGAAAAACCGAAACCGTGAACCGTGTGTGCGCGAGACTGTGTGATTTACCGAAGCACGCGTTATGAACAAAACCAAAACACGACCCCAAGGTGCCCCAAGCAAATAAACAATGGCAATTCCTTGAACATTGAACGAGAGGCAAGACGCAACAGATGGTATATTTTGTCAAAAATATAAAACAAAACAAAAAAAACAATCAATCTAAAAACCAATCAAACAAAATATTCAAAATAAATCGAATTGATGTACGGTGGATCGTTATGGTATTGCTTCTTCCAAAATCGTGTTGAGCTGAACATTTGAAAGAAATTTGCGATGAAGTAGCTATAAAGATTAAATTTGTTTTTGGATATTGTTTAATAACGTGCTTTCGATGAGATCAAACGATAATAATGCAACGGTGTTTCAAACTTTGATTGATTTGTACGAACAAAAGCCAAATCTCGAGAGTCTTTTTGCACAATCTATTTAACGAGATCTAAGTGAATAAATATAGAAACGTTCCAGAATTTGAATAAATTTTTTTAATTGTAATTTAATAAATGTAAATTGTTTGAAAACAGAACAAAAAAGAAATATGGAAAATTAAAACTGTTTTTGCTATCGGAAATTTGTTGATATTGACTTGACTACTAGTAAAATTTGAGGTCACTTTTGATTGTTCCTTAACTATATTCGCTGTTACTTGTTGCAAGATCAATTTTTTTTCATTGTGTACCATTTTTTTGTGAAAAACTTTGTACGGATTTGGTAATTTTTCTTGTTTAAAGTAGAGTGAATACGACACACGCTTTTTTCCAGAGTCCATTTACTTGAATTGAATTTTTTTACTGTACGAAATGTGAAGGCTACCGATCGATTCGCCAGTTACGAAGCAAACGAAAAAAAATATTTGATTGTTCCTATTTTCTTCCCCCATTTTCGGTCAAATTTGATTCATTTTTCTTGAGCTTGTATTATTGAATTAAATTTTTTTTCAAACTGTTGATAAATTCCTTACATCTTTGTATTTGTTAAGTATTCCATTTGAAGTCGATTAACTTGTCGTCAAAATTTAACTTGAAAATAATTGTTTTTTTTTTTCGTTTTGAAATGTATTCTGAAAATTTCGAAACAAATACGTTTTTCTCGTTTTTTGCCAAAACAAATTGTATTAGCTTATGTGCTTAAGTTTTTTTTTTTCATTCAAGCTCATGCATTTATGTCGATTTCAAATAATGACCGCATTTTTCTAATTTGCAGAAAACTTTTCGTGGGTGGATTGAGCTGGGAGACAACAGAAAGTGAGCATATTTGACAAAAATACAATTTTTATACCAAAGTTGGCCGTAGCTTTACCAAAAGCAACAATTTAACCGATTTTCTTTATTCTGCAGAGGAATTGCGCGAACACTTTGGCCAATACGGTGACATCGAAAGCATCAACGTTAAGACAGATCCACAAACTGGTCGTTCACGTGGTTTCGCATTCATTGTGTACACATCGCCGGAGGCAATTGAAAAAGTTACGGCTGTCCCAGAGCATGTGATCAACAACAAAAAGGTTGACCCGAAGAAGGCAAAGGCTCGTCATGGCAAAATTTTTGTTGGTGGTCTCACCTCCGAAATCAGCGACGAAGAAATCAAAACTTTCTTCGGTCAATTCGGCAACGTAAGTGAATGGGCATTGGGCAACAATGAAAAAACCATAAAATCGAATTGACCACGAAATGAATACTGATTGTATGTTGTTTTTCTCTCCTTTCTCCCATTTAAGATCGTTGAAGTCGAGATGCCATTCGACAAACAGAAGAATCAACGTAAAGCATTCTGCTTCATTACTTTCGATTCAGAACAAGTCGTCAACGAATTGTTGAAGACACCGAAACAGACGATCTCTGGCAAAGAAGTGGACGTGAAGAAAGCCACGCCAAAACCAGACAATGTACCGGGACAATTCGGTATTGGTGGCCCACGTGGCGGCCCACGCGGTCGACAAGTTCGTGGTGAGTAGCCGTGTTTCCTTTATTTTCAATTGAAAAGTTGCGCATTTTCGATCATGGAATGGCAATTTGACCTCGTAATATTTTCTCTCTAGGTGGATTTGGTGGTCCGAAAGGATGGAATCAAGGCTACGGATACAGCCAAGGTAGTGGATATTATGGCACCAATTACGATGGTTCGTTGATCGAATTTCGCAGCGAAAATTTTATTCCATTTGACAATTTAGTGTTTTAACCAATTTCTTTTTCTGTTTTCTCTCTCTTCCTCACTCTGTGCTCTCAATCTCTCATCAATTACAGCAGGTTATGCCGGTTACGCTGATTATTACAGCGGCGGCTATGGACCAAGTGGTTACGGCGCTGGGTATCAAGACTACTACTCGGGGAACTACGGTAAGCCTTATTATAAGAGCAATAACTATCACCAGAACCACCAGAATTAAGCTATACGATTGAGAGTAACCATAAAGCAATGAAAACAAAACAACAACAACACACACAAAAAAAAATATTTATAAAAAAAATCTAAAAAAAACTATAAAATAACATAAAAAAAACACCTAAAATAAAATGTTAGTAAAGTTGTGAGGCGACGGAGACGAAAACATTGTGCTTGGTTGACGAGTGAATATATTTTATGTTGTCTTGAGAGAATCACAAATAACACAATCAGTTTTTCTTCTCTTTTTTTTTACCGTATACGTTTGATTACTTGTGCCGCCGTTTCAAAAAAAAAGTTAAACAAATAGTCCTCCATATTAAGCAGTTAAAATCTAACCAAAAATTCAAGAAAAAACAAACTCGGACAACTCATAGAATATATTTGCATTGAAATATACCTCATTTTAAAGACTGTTACCAAATATTATAACACTAATCAAAAAGGGAGACGTAGATGGAAATAAGTGGTATAAGAATGAAGAAGAATGAGAAACGAAAAACGAAGGAAAAGAAAGAAAAAAGAAGATATTTTAAAGTTACGTACTAATTATATATGAAAATGGAAATGATTAATGTGCTCGCTGAAGAAATTGCAATACATTAGGTATATCGTGTAAATTGCATTTAAATAAACAACAGCTATATATCTAATGGTGAAGAGCTCAGGGAACAAATGCGCGAATCACCATCATCGCAAACGCAATATGCTAACGTATGGTTTTTTTTTTTTTAATTTGTTCGTTATATCGATCAAAGTGTTTTCCAAGCAGAAAAGAAGCTATTTAATAAATTTTCGTGATTCAAGCATTTATCATTCCGATTGATTAGCTTTACAACAAACAAAGCGATTATTCCGTAAAAATAACATCAACGGGCTCACCCGATGGCATTTTCTATTTGGTTAATTTTCACATCACCCTTCCCTTTTTCTCTCTCTCACACTCATACACAAACACCCACCCACAACCATATACACGATTGGAAACAAGCTACTAAAATGTGAAGAGATGCTCAAATTTTAACCGAGACACACAAAAACAAATGAATTGAAAACAATTCAATCGGAATGCAGAACGATCAAACAAAATTGGCATAGATAGAAAATGAAACAAAAACAAGAATAAATCAATAAATAAGAGCAGAATCAAATGAATGAGTCGATGATGATATCAAATGTTGAGTCTAATGAATGTTACTCATTTCTTTTTTTGTGTGTGTAATACGCGCTATGCCATATAGAGTTATCGTACAATTTTAGTCAATAAGTGTAACACGGTATGATATAGCGGTGCCTTTTCCAATTGGCTTAAACTAATCAGTAGCCTCCCACCCAACCTTTTCCCGATTAATTATATCTTAAGAATGTATTTTTGTATGTATATTCAGAAGAGTTCGGAGTGCATATTGCAACACACACACACACATTATGCACACGTTCGGTACAATGCACTTATTTTCCTGTTCGGTTTTTCGATTGTCCAAAATGAGCTCATTGGATCGAGATGGCAATACAATTTCTTCCTTCTTTTTTTTTTTAAAGAGAGCAACAAATACTTTTCTCTCATTTGTTCGGTTAGTTTCGAGCGCAATTAAGAAATGCACTTAGGGCGTAGCAACAATAATTCATAGTTTACAAGTCGTACCGGCAACCCTAAGTATAAAGGCGAAAAAGAGAGAAAAACAAATATGAAGAGCCAACCGAATCAAATACTACGTTCGTTTGAGTTATATATATACAAATCATCTACTTGTACTAAATTTGCATTACAAGCAAATTTTTGGTCTATCGGTCTTTAAATACATCATTTTGTGCAAGCAAAAATTGCACGCAGAAATCCATTTTTTCTAATTCTTCTATTCTCCTTCAATTCTCCGCACAAAAGTGCGGACGAAACGAAGAACGTGCATTTGCTCGCACAAAAATACATACACACACACACACACATACAGTCCATACAAAATAAATGTAAAAACACACAGAAAAAATAAAAGGCGGAAACTTTAGAAGGAGGTTAAGATACCTAGCACAAATCAGAATATAGGCTCTTAAACATTAGTGAGAAGTAGGCAAATAGAACCATCAGCAATAGCATATTATATAATATGAAAATAGTAATCAATATTCGGATGCAATAGAAACCAACAACAACAAACAAAATAATCAAAATGTTAACCTTTATAAAGAAAACGAAAACAACAAAAAATAACAACAACAACAACTAACTCGTTTAAACAGCAACCACATATGAACACAAATTACGTTTATCATTTAAGATGAAAAAAAAAACAAAATGAATCAGAAGAAAATATTTATTTATATACATGAATAAGTAGTTTTTTTCGTAAGAAGTCAAGTTTTCTTTTTGAAACACACGCAGCAAAACAAATTTTTGACAACAACAATATGTTTTTTTTTATTTGTTCACAAAAAGTAAAACAAAATCATCAACAACAACATTTGATGTGAAAGCAAAGAGATTCTGCATGTTTCCAATGTTTATTTCTTCAATTGTCATTATTTTGAGTTTTTCGGTTTTGAAAAAAAAGAGAAAAAAATACGATTTTTCTTTTTGGTTT